ACGAACGAACGAACGAACGAACGAACGAACGTTTAAATATGCTCTTCCCAGCCTCTTTCCTAGAAACAATGGAGCAAAAGCAGGAGAACTATGAAAAGGAAACGTGAGAGACTGGGAAGCATCCCAATTGCGTCCTAACTCCAGCCTCCGCAGCTTGGTTTATGCCGCGGACCCCTCCGCCCCACCCCCCACCCTCGGGAGCACCCTCCCTTTGCTCTCTCGCTCCCTGCTCCCTCCGCGCCCGTGGGCAGTCCAGGGCTCTGCTCACATTTGTTGACAGCATCCTCCCTCTGGCTTCAGGTTGACTACCATTTAGCTCCCCGCATTGCGAAAGGGGGCATGGGATTGCGCTTCAAATGGGGACGAAGTGGGCAGCAGCAGGAAGGCACAGAGCCTCCGAGAGGGGACGGGGAACACTCCTGCCCAGGCCTGACGCAGCTGGGTGGAGGAAGCCAGAGAAATAAGAACGTTCCTTCTCACCCTTCAGAGCACAGCACAAATGTCCCCTCTCGCAGAAAGCCTGACTCTCCCAGACAATGTCTTGCATTCGATCCAGGACTCCCAGCCCAGAGGTTTGTCCCTCTACCCCAGTCCTGAGAACAAGGGGTTGGAGGTGTCTGGTTTTGTCTCCCCCAATCTGCGAGCACCTCGAGGGCCAGGCCTGGGCCGGGGTTCTCTACATTTTCCAGAACAGAGAATAAGAATGGTCCCTGGAGTCCCTACAGCTGCCGTCCTGGAGACTATGCCACACCCCCTTTCCTTTCGTCAGAGAACCAGCTTTCGGCAAGATGCATGCAGGTCTGGAAGTTCATCCTTAAGTCCCTCCACCTTCCCATTAGCTGATATTGAAGCCGCACTGGGGGCCTCGCCTCCCCACAGACCTGGGCCCTGACAGCTCCCACCTTCGTGTGCTGGAAGCCAGAAGGAGACAAGCGGATGCAGGCAAATTTGGGATGGCCTGCTGTCAGAAGGGCTGGCCGTGGGGGGAAGGGGCCTCTGGGGCTCCCTCACTTTGTCAAGAAGCCCTGCTTGGGCTAGGAAGAGTGGGCCACCCCTCTCCGCCCATGGCCTTGTCCTCAGGAAACACCCCCAGGGACCCCCGTGGGCCCCACCCCCTGAGCAGTCACTTCCCCTCCGCCACTGCACATGGCACCTCAGACCAGAGAGGAGGTGATGGGGCCCCAGCTGCTCCGCGCGCCGTCCCAGGAGAGGCCCCACCACCAGCTCTCAGCTCCTCTAAGGCTTTCATCCTGCATAGGGCCTAAGGGCCCAATCATGTGTCCCCTCAGACCCCTGTGGCAGGCCGGGCAGCCCCAGCCACCACGCAGCAGCGTATACCACTTGAATCCAGCACCTAGGCAGCCATAGGGAACCAGAAAAGGTGCTACAGAGAGAGCATCCAATCCCGTTACCGCCCCCACCCCGACCGCATTCAAATAGGGACTCGAATGCATTTCCTGAGCCGGGGGCGGTTACAGTCAAATCCACCTCCTCCTGGACCCTTTGCCCTAACAGAGAAATCTCCCCCAAGAAAGAGCAGCTATTTCTAGGCTCCCAAACCCAGGACGATCTCAGGGGCTCAGGATCAGGTCCTGCCTCAATGTCCCCAGTGGGGATGGAGGGAGCTAGGACGAGCAGAGCCCCAGGACACAGCCCCCCCACCCACGCTGCGCTGCCCGGGGCCCAGGCAGGAAGCCAAGGGGAAGGAGATGTGAGGGGAAGGAAGGGGCCCCGACTGGAGGAGGAGACACATGTGGGGAAGGAGGAGGAGGGGCCCCCTCCCCCATAGCCAGAATCTGGGGTAGAGGGGTTCAAAGAAAACCTCGGGTGCCCTGTTGGCTACCCGGGCGGGGGCGTTCCTAGGCGACCCCTCAAGACTCCCAGACCGTGGCATCTGGGTGCCCGAATCCCATTGGAGTCGGCCTGGGGCTTGGGAGCGGTTACCCACCAGCCTGCTAGTCCTCAGCCTAGATCTGGGCTCATTCCAAGCCCATGAATGCATTCCTCCTAAGGTAAGGTAGGTCACCCCAGAATCTCAGTGTTACCACCCATACATTCCCCCTGTTCCCATGCCGGCCCAGAGGTAGAGTGCACTCACCCAGCCTGGGAAGACCCCCACTTCCGACCCTCCGCCCGCCAGCCCAAAGCGGGCTCACCTGGGACATCTGGGGGCGCAGGTTGACCTCGCGTAAGTTGATGGCGTGGGGCAGCAGGTTGTTAAGCAGCTGGCAGAGAAGGACCCCATCCCGAAGGGCCTGCGCCAGCTCGCACACCTGGGCCCCGTCCCAGGTCACGCGGTGGCTGGGCGGCAGCACCCGGCACTGGATCAACCAGTGGGTACACTGGCGCCACAGCTCCATGGCTGCTGCCTTTCCCGGGCCGGCCCGCGCACCCTCCGTCCTCCGCCACCCGCCTGCCCGCCTGCTCGTGCTTCTAGCTACCACTTCCTCTTCTTTGCCTGTAACTGTCGCCCGGAGATGGGGTGGAAGAGGAGGAGCCGTGGGGGTGGGGGCGGGGGAGCACCTGCGGCCCGGCCCCGCCCCGCCCCTTCCACGCGGGACCTCTCCCACCAACACAACACCTGGGCACCTGGGAGGGGGAAGGGCTGCTAGTGGAGTCAGGCTCACTAAACTGAGGCCGGCTGGCTTCCTCCATATCCAGCTCTTGAGCAGTAACAACTGAAAGGACTCGAAATCCGCCCTCTGCTCACTCCTCCCTTTGCCTCCACCCTGGTCCAGCCCCATCATCGCTAGCCTGGACCAGTGCTGTCTCCTCCGCCTTGGTCCCCGCGCTCCCGCCCTCTCCTCCTGAAGCTTATCCTTCCCACAGCCGCCAGAGGGCGCATGGGAGCACCTGAGTCCAGTCAGGATGTCCCTCCTCTTGTCACATATCTTCCTCATTAGGGTAAAAGTCCTCCCTGCAGCCCACACGGCCCTATATGACCTGCCCGCCCTAATCGTCCCTGTCCTCACCTCCTTCACTCCCCCTTCGCCCTCACCCACTGGCTCCAGCCACCCCGGCCTCCCGCTGTGCCTCCTAGGCGCCAGGCCAGTCCTACTCCGGGCTTTGGCACGTGCTCTGCCTTAGGCAACTTCGTGGCCAGCTCTCTCACCACCTACAGGTCTTTTTGCTCAACGTCGCGGTCTCGTGAAGTCTTCCCAAACCTCCCCATTTCAAATCGCAGCCTTTCCCCTACCCTATCACACCCTATCCCGCTTCCTCATCAAACCTGATGTTTTATTGTACTTATTTCTCTGTCTATTTAGAAATGTGCGTCTCTCGTCTCCCACCAACACCCCCTCCATGCCGGAACCCCTCCATGCCGGAACCTCTCCCATGCTGGAACCCCCCAGCACCTGTCTATGTGACATGCTAAACAAATATTTGTTGAATGAATGCATGAATGAATAAATGAATAAATGAATAAACAAACAAACAAACGGTTGAAAGCTCTACTGGCTCTGCCTCCGATACTTATCCCAAATCCATCCATTTATCCCCATGGCCACCACCATCTCTCTCCTTACAGACTTCGTTAGTGTCATTCGTTAATTCATTTGCTCGGCAAACATTTACTGTCTCCATGGCCCTTATCATCATCTGAAATCACCTTGCCTATGCGTCTCTCGCCCTACCTCCACCCCGCTAGACTCTGAGCAGCCTACCCTGCCCGCTGCATCTCTCTCGGCACCCTCTGCACGTCTTCAATTCTTGTAACCGCTAGGAGGCGCTAGGCCCCTTCTCTGGATATACCCTCCACCCTCTGACTGAACCAAAACTAGGAGGGAGGGGGTCGAGGCAAAGACGCTCCCCTTGGCCCCTCCCAAGCCTGGAGACTCTTTCACATTGCCGGGCGGGGGCGGGGGGCATCCTTGAAATTCCCAGCTCTGCGATCCTACAGGCACCAACACTTTTCAGCCCCAAGCATCCTTGGCTCTCTGTGCGTCGATTTCCTCATCTGTAAAAGGCGTGACGGTTTAGAATTACGCCAGGGATCAGAGATGGTGCGACTTCAAAGACAAAGTCGAGGAAGACAGGATGCCTTTCTAGGGCTCCGGGTTTGAATCCCCACTCTCCCGCTCACAAACTGGATCGAGCCGGGCAAATGGCTTAGCTGTCCCGTACCTCAGTTTCTACATCTGAAAAATGAGGGTAATGGGTGGTCTATGCAAAAATCAGACGCGTCGAGGTAAGTCAAGCAAGCAACACAGCCCTGGCAGTCAGCGCTCAACGAATGTTAGTTGCAACTATTGTCTTCTCCTTCTTTCTTTCCCTTCTTTGCTTTTCCTTCCCTCCTTTTCCCCTTCATAAACGTGGCCAGGGCCTTCTGTCTCTTGTTCCAGATCCCCCCACCTCCTTCCACCTAGGAAACTACCCGAATGTCCCCCTCAAGCCTCCCCAGAGTCTAGCTCAGCTCTACGGTGCTGTCACTGGGGGAGGCTGTCGTGTTTTCCTGCATCTCTCTCCACAAAAACCCGACACCCAGCTGTGGTTCCGTACCCGGAAACCCACGGGGACGGTCGGGAGGAAGCGCACCCCTCCACGTCACGGCTGCCACCACCCCTGCCGAGCAAGAAAGCCCATAGGGGCCGCCCCGCCCCTGCCCGGAACCCTGGAGGAGGGGAGGAGAGGGACACCCCGCTCCCGCGCCCCAAGGGACCAGGGATGCTTAGGGCCAGCCTGAGGGGGATGCAAGGGCCAAATTCTAAGGAGCGAGACTGAGAGAGGGACTGGGAGCTGAGTGGGCGAGTCGGAGGAGGGCGGGGCGACATTCTAAGGGGACCGGCCCGTTTTAAGTGACAGACGGAGTTTCCCAAAGGGGCGTGTTCTATGAAGCAGAAGGTTTTATCCCAAGGAGGCGTGGTTAGTGCAAAGAAAGTTCTGAGGGGGCGGAGCGCAAGCGAGGGGGCGAGGCGAAAGCCGGGGAGGCCGCCGTTGGGGGCGGGGTCCGAAGGGGGCGGGACCTTTCCGAAGGGGGCGGGACCTTGAGGGCGGGGCCAGGTACGGACTCGGTTCTTAGGCGGCGCCGCCGGGGAAGGCGAGACCCGACTGGGGCCCGCAGGGCGGGGCGCGGAGCCGCAGAGCCTCAGGCTTCCGTCTGGCCCCAGCCCCTTAGGAGCTCCGCAGGTTTCCGCCCAGGTGAGTGAGGGCCCCCGAGAGGATCCAGAGCCAGGGTATTATTGGGGTGGGGGTCCTCTCCTCTCCAGGTAGGGCCACCGGCTCGCGGGGAGGATCTGAATGTCTGTCCACGCGCGTCCGCGGACGTACAATGGGCCGCCAAGCTGCACGTCACCCGGATCCGTGTACCTGGGCGTACCTGGGCTACCTGGGCGTACCCCTCTAAGCGTGTTTCCTGGGCAACACGGACAGCCTTCCTGCTTCCATTTTTGCCTGACCGATCTTTTTAAACCACAAACCAGATCGTGCCCCTCCCTCTCTTAAAAGCCTTCCATAGCTCTCATTCCATTCCACTGAGATGAAAATTTAAGGTCCACCAGTTCCTGCAAGGTGTCACCTCTGCTGACTTCACTGATCTACACTTAGCTCTTTGCTCACTGCATTCCAGCCACCCTGGCCTCCCCGATGATGTCAGATGTAAAAAGCAAGCTCCATCTCACCTCCAGGCCTTTGCACTTGTAAACCCCACTGGAGACCACTGTTTCTCCAAATCTTGGCATAACTGCCTCCTTCCCTTCACGGAGGTCGCAGCGCCAGTGTCACTCTCTGGGACAGCCCTTCCTGACTGTGCTGTTTAAACTCGCCTGCCCTCTGCAGCCATCTTTATCCCATCCCCCTGCTTTACCACCCTCATTGGTTACTCTTAGAATTTATTCTCGTTTTGTTGTGCGTCTTTTCCTCAAGATGGCACAGGGCAAATCTCTTTCATCGCTGTATCTCCAGGGTCTAAACCAGCGTCCAGTAAGTGCTCAACCAGTCGGGTGTTTGCTCAGTGTCCAGTTTGAGTCCTCATGTCCACCCGCGTCCATGTGTCTATGCGCGGGTGGCTGCCGCCTGCAGTGTGTACACACGTATATGGTCTATGGAGTATGAACGCCCCCTCCCCCTTTCCCCACACTTACCCCTACCTCAGCCTCTAACCCTTCCTCTCTCCCCTGCCCAAATATCCAGACATTTTTCCAAAAGACACAGGCAGGAGGAAGACTTAGCCTGGGGCTGACCTGTGCCCACCCTGAGCTCCTTCTACCCCCAACTAACCAGAGTTTTGTCACTGACCCACCTCAATGTCCACTAAGGGGGGCATGAGACAGAGGAACCTGGGGTTAGGGGACTCATAAGACCAAGGCCAGACCTAGCCCAAGTGAGAAACAGGAAGTACACAGACATCCAGGAGACACACCTGGCATTCAGGTATGCAAGGGCCTGCCAGGAGCCAGCAGGCCCAGCTCCCCGCCCCTAAAGCCACCTAGGGCCCATCTGGGAACTTCCTGCCTCTTTCTGGCCCTCAGCGGAGCTGACTCAGGCTATAAGAATCCTGGTCCTATTTTCCTTCAGCCCCTGGCCAGGCCCAGAAGAACTTGAGGGGTGGGGACAGTGAGGAACAGACCCCCCGCTTCCCACCCATCCGGGGCAGATTCTTTCCACCAGATAATTGAGACGGTCCTGTGCCCTGATCAAGGGAGTCCCAAAGTGTTGGAGACCTAAATTTGACCATAATAATAACTAAATATTTCAGTTCCAAAATTGCATTTGCTAACTTTTCTACAAAAATCTGACCTTCCAACATCGTTAAATATGGTGCTACATTGGAAAGCCATGTATGCGTTAGATTTTCTTGCCTTCTAAGAATCCTTGCACGTGAAGCTATGAGACATTAGAAATTGAAATCACCTCCAGCCTGGAATGTTCGTTCACCCCGAGAACCACCTCACAGACTCCTCCAAAACCCTTCCGGCCATTACCAACTGGGACCTTCCCAGGCCACCCAGTAGAAAATCTTAACTGCACCACTTCATACCGCATCCCAGGTCACATTTGTCTGCTTAGCTCTCTCGGACCTAACTACTTCCTCATCCACTCATTTATTTTCTTAATTGCCGTATCCCCCCAAGGCAGCTCCCCAAGGGCAGGGTCTCCCATCTCTTTTGTTTACTGCTGGGTCTCAAGCATCTCGAACAGCATCTGGCAACACAGTGGTTGCCTCATAAATATTGGTCTGAGTGAATGAGTTAATTAAATTTCTACGACATGGAACATTATGTCATCTGCATAAAACGCTATTACTTTCGAAAGCAGTGCATTGATCTTCTCCCATTGCAAGGATACGAGTGAATGCGTGTCTGTTTCCATGAAGTCACAGCCAATTCTAAATTAAAGTTACTCGTAGCCCAATTGTGTGTGTGTGTGCGTGTGTGTGTGTGTGTGTGTGTGTGTGTGTGTGTACACACACTGTTGACCCTTGAACAACACGGGCTTAAACTGTGCAGGTCCACTTACACGCGGACTTTTTTCAGTAAATACATATGGTGCTGTTGATGTGTTTCCTCTTCCTTACGACTTTCTTAATAACGTTTTTTTTCCTCGGGCTTACTTTATCTTAAGAATACAGTCTATAATACGTATAACATACAAAGTATGTGCTATTTAACTGTTTCTTATTGGTGAGGCCTCCAGTCAACCATAGGATATTAGTAGTTAGTTTTGGGGGAATCAAAAGTCGTATACAGATTTTCAATTGCGTGGGGTCAGTGCCCCTAACCCTGCATTGTTCAAGGGTCCACTCTAATCTGACATATATCTATATCCATATTTCTGCCATATAGATATAATCTGATTATGAGTAACTTGTTTAATTTAGAATATAATATATATTTATATAATATATGTACACATACAGAGAGAGAGCTGCATTTTAAGGTTTGATAGGATGTGGGCCACTGTCTCCAAAACTAAGAGGAACATGGAACAGTTGACTCGGCCACTCAGGAAGCCGGAATAATTATTCCCATTTTACAGATATGGAAGACTGAGGCCCGTTGATAGTGCAGAACTCAGCCCCAGCACCACCGCCCCCAAGAGCCCCATGCAGGTGCCACAGGATGGAGAGGACTTTGCCAGCCAACCCTGGTACCACGGCCCCTTGTCCCGCCAGGTACCTTCTCCTGCAGGGCCTTAGCACCATCTGATGGGAACCCCTCCCACCCTCGACCTGCTGGGAACTCCTGGGTCCTAGATGAGGGATTTAGGGTTAAGGGGTTAAGGTCTATTGGAAGGGCTGGCTGGGGGACTGGGGACTATCTAGAAACTTGATTGGCATAGCATGTCACTCCCTCTATTTAAAGCATCACTTTCTTTGGGATAGTGTTGGAGATGGTAACGAAGATTGAAGAGGGCCCTGGCCCCATCAGAGCACTTCTTGGCTCTGCGTGGCTCTCTCTCTGTGGGTCTCAGGCACCTGCAGTCACCAGGGCCCTATATCCCTCTCAATTCAAGGCTCCCCACCCCCATCTCCAACTCAGGCATTACCCTGAGGAGTCCTGGGACCCCGGGCATCCAATCAGATCATGATAGGCAGTATAGTTTAGTGGTCAAAACCCCACACCTTGGAGCCAGACATCCTGGGTTTACATCCAAGCCCTACAATTTATATTCTGTGTGACCTAGGTCAAGATATTTTGCCTCTCTGCGCCTCAGTTTGCCCATCTATAAAATGGAGATAATAGTACTTACCACTTAACCTGGGTAAAGGGTTAAATGAGTTCATATATTTTACACCTGAAACAACACCTGGCATAAGTAAGGGCTGTACATGTGTTATTATAGACTCCACGTATTGTTCGTGTGTCCACTGCATGTATTGTTCAGCCCCCAGCCCCCATCACCAGCTCTGCTTCGCCTCTCTGGTGTCAGAGCCCTCAGCCTCGGTTTTAACACCAGCCACCATGGCTGGCATAAGACAGCTTGAAATTTTTTATAAAGGAGGGTTTATGAGCCACACTCCATTTGAAAGGATCCAGCTAATGGTTTATCTTGAAGCCACATTTGCATAGCAAGCCCAGTGTATTTACTCAGATTGGAAATTGCGTCAGTCGGCATCGGCATCGGCTAGCAGCTGTAACGAACATTCCCAAGATGTCATTGCCTAAACAAAATGCACGTTTAAGGACTCGTTCACACCACAGTCTGAAGCAGTTGAGGAGTAGGGCTGCAGAGCTCCAGAAATCAGTCAGAACCCAGGCCCTTTTCTATTTTGTGGTGCCGCCTTCCTCCAGGGCTTTGGGGACATCAGCTGAAAGATAGCGGACAAATCCTGTAGGATTTTGAAGGAGGATTTTATAGGCCAGGTATGGAAGGTCCCCATTGTACTTCTGCCCTCATCCCATTGGCCACATCTTATCACGTGATGGCTCTAACTGCAAGAGATCCTGGGAAATGTAGTCCAGAGGTGTGCCCATGAGAAGAGGGGAAATGATTTAGTGCAAAACTCCCAGGTCTCCGGTGTGGCTTTTCTTGGGTGAGCGTGGCGAGTCACTGTTAACTACTGGTATGGGCTCATGCCTAAACCCCTTGCCTCCTGTCCTCCATCCCCAGAAGGCAGAGGCTCTTCTTCGGCAAGATGGGGACTTCTTGGTTCGTGCATCTGAATCCCATGGAGGCCACCCTGTGATCTCCTGCCGCTGGCAGGGCTTGGCCTTACACTTCGAGGTTCTCTGTGTGGCCCTGCGTCCGCGGCCAGGCCGGCCCGCAGCCCTCTTTCAGCTAGAGGATGAGCGTTTCCCAAGCCTGCATGCCCTGGTTCACAGCTATGTGAGCGGCCAGCGTCCGCTGACCCAGGCCACCGGGGCTGTGGCCTCCAGGCCGGTGACACGGCAAGAGTCCATCCGATGCAGCTTTAGTGAGGACACCCTCCTAGACAGCCCAGCTCGTGTAAAGCTGCTCAGGTACTCACAGGCCCCATTCCACCCCGGCAACAACCGACACCCCCGGGGTTCCTCACCTCGCCAACATTGACACTTGGGTCCAGGTCGTTCTCGGTTGTGGGGCCATCCCGTGCATTGTAGGATGTTAAGCAGCATCCCCAGGCTCTATCTCCTAGATGTCCGTAGAATCCTCCCCACCCCAACCCTAAGTTGTAACAAACAAAAAATGTCTCCTGAACTTGCCAACTGTCCCCTGGGGGGTAGAGCACCCTGGTTGAGATCCAGGGACCCCCAGTGACTGGAGGTAGGGGTCTGGGGGCATTGGTGGGGGCTGCCTTGCTCAGGCTGGGACTACACATCTCCCCCATCTCTATCCCCCAGGGATAGGAAGTGGAGTGACAGTCAGCCTGCAGGTTTGGAGCTTGTGGGGCAGTCAAGAGAAGGCCACTCTGGACCAGGTGAGGGTCTGCCAGGACAGCCCATGGCTGAGATTGCTCTGCCCCTCACTCCCTGAGTGACCTTGGGCAGGCGACTTAACCTCTTGGAAAACAGGGATAACGATACTCTCAAAGCTGTCACGGCGGTTAAAAAGCACATAGGAACTGTGTAGGTGCTTAAAATGAGGCTTTACAATTATTCCCAGAAGCCCTACATGTTCGTATCGTGGCTGACCTGTCTAATACGCCACTTGCCCATCTCACTGGTCACACAGTCGTCCTCTCAGTTGCTAGAAACTTTCAAACTTGTTCCTGCCTCGAGGCCTTCGCGCTTGCCATTCCTGCCACTGGAAAGCCCGTTTCTCTAATCTTTTCCTGACTGCTTCTCACCTAACATGACTTCCTCAAAGCAGCTGACCCCGATCATCCTACCTGAAGGAGGTCTCGCCCTCTTGCTCGTCCGGTCTTCCTCATCTGCCCTGACCGCCCCTCACCCCATGCAACATGAGCCCTCCCTGCATGCCAGGGACCATCCTAGGTGCTGAGATATGTCAACGAACAAGAGAGACAAAGATCCCTGCACAAGTGGAGCCAACGTCCTGTTAGAGGAAATAAACATGCCACAAATTTAACAAATGACATCGTTCGAAGGTTAGGGAAAAATGGACCAAGAGCAATAAAAATAAGTCAATTATGTATGGTTTGGGGTAAAAATTTAAAGTACAACAGAGGAAGGGAGATTTGAAGACCCCGTGGAGAAAGATTTTAAGGAGGTAAAAAAGGGAAGGATGTGGGTAAGTGGGGGGCGAGAGTGGCCCAGGCAGAAGGAAGAGCCATTGCAAAGGTCCTGGGCCAGAACAGGAGTCTGAATTACTCATTCCACCAAAAGGAGGTAAGTGTAGCTAAGCAGCGGGAGTGAGAGGAACTTCAGAGACAGATCCGGGGCTCAGGGCGCGAGGTCTCTTTTGGCTACTGCGAGGACTTTGGTCCCTCCACAGAGTGAGCTGGGGCCCTTGGGAAAGTGTTAAGCTCCTATAATAGGGTCTAATTAAATGCTTCATAAACACACAATCTGTCCAAAGTCTGGGTGCAGTTTAAAGTTCTAATAACCTCGGAAATAAACATGCCACAAATTTAACAAATGACATCATTCGAAGGTTTGGTAAATTCTGTTGCTTTGATGCTTATGTAGTTTTGTGAATTTTGATTAATATATATTTTTACTTTTATTCTGTACCATCTTCAATCGGAAGGACAAAAACAAAGTATTCAGATTTAAAACGTGGTATTCAGAATTCACAAAACGACATAGGTGTCAAAGAAAGCTCACTTTCAAACCATTGGTAAGTATGAGGCATTTACACTGGGGAAGCTGTGAAGGTTGGAAGTCGCAGCAGGACGGGCAGGAGCACCCGGCGACGGGCTGACTGAGTGGACGACGCCAGGACCCGCCCAGCTATCTTCTCCATGTACCTCCTGCACCCTGTCTCGTGTGACCCCTAGGAGCCTCTGCCGTGCCCACGTTTGCCCTGCGTCGGATGGGTAGTGACCCTGTGTTGCTGAAGACCTCAGACCCCCTGGGGTCCATTGCTGACAGCCTCTGGGCTTCGGATGGGCAGCTTCACACCAAGATGCCAACCAAGCCACCTCGAACACCCCCACTAGTGCTACCCGATGCCTCTGGACGCCCCCCAACATACTGTGAGCTGGTGCTCCGTGTGCCCAGTGCCCGGGGAACACCCTCTGGCCACAGCTGCCCAGAGCCAGAGACCCCCTGGTGGGAGACCCAGGAGGAGGCAGAGGACGAGAGATGTTTTGCAAGACCACAGGCACAGGTCTCTTTCTGCCCTGCTGACAACCCCTCCAGCCTGCTGGGCCCCCAGAATCGGCCCCTGGAACCAAAAGTCCTACATATTCTCCGTGGCCTGTTCCTGGAGCACCATCCTGCCAGCACTGCCTGCCACTTGCTATTGGCAGACTGCCAGGTCAGTCACCTACCAAGACCCTCCTCCCCAGGCAGGTGCAAGGCTCAGTCGCACCTCACACCCAATACTCTGTTCACCTGTCCTCCCCACTCTCCCCTCAACCTCATCCCCAGGCCACAGGCCTACTGGGAGTGACCAAGGCTCAGAGGGATGCCATGGGGGTTGCCTCTGGCCTGGAACTGCTCACACTTCCCCATGGCCATTGCTTGAGGTCAGAACTGCTGGAGAGGTGAGGATCTCCAACACTCCCCTATTCACGGCCCCTGGTGGGGGGAGGGGGGCAGGCAATGCCCCTTCCCGTCCCTCCTCACCCCGAAATACACAGCCTTCTACTGCCCCCAGAACCTTGCCCTCCGCCTCCACAGGCACGAGGCACTGGTACTGGCTGGCGCGCTGGCGGTGCTGGGCTGCTCAGGGCCCCTGGAGGAGCGCGCGGCCGCCCTGAGGGGCCTGGTGGAGCTGGCACTGGAGCTGCGGCCAGGGGCAGCGGGGGACCTGCCTGGACTGGCCGCAGTCATGGGCGCCCTGCTCATGCCGCAGGTGCATGGGGAGCAGGGATGGGGATGAATCCCGAGTTCAAGTGATGGGAAAGAGGGAAGAGGAGTCATGCTCGAGGTTCTCACCCCAGGTGTCCAGGCTGGAACGCACATGGCGCCAGCTCCGAAGGAGCCACACCGAGGCAGCGCTGGCCTTCGAGCAGGAGCTGAAGCCGCTGATGCGGGCGCTGGATGAGGGCGCCGGTGAGTGGCATCATTTGGAGTGGAGCATCAACTAACTCTAAACCAAAATCCTAATCCAGCCTTAGGCCAAATCCCTGCTTCTGTCATAAGCTCCTCCCCTTCACCAAGGCTCCGCCCCTCATCCTAGGCCCCACCCTCTCTCAGGCTCCGTCCCTGCCCTACGCCAGCCTTGACCCAGCCCAGGTCTGCGCTAGGCTCAAGCCTGTGTCTGACCCAAACACCGCCAGTTACTTCGGTCCTAGGTGCTTGGCCCAATGTTCCACCTTCTCTACCTGTCCCAAGCCCAGTCCAGACCCTTCTCCCCACAGGACCCTGCGACCCGGGCGAGGTGGCTCTGCCTCACGTGGCACCCGCGGTGCGCCTGCTGGAGGGTGAAGAGATCCTGGGGCCGCTGGACGAGAGCTGCGAGCAGCTGCTGCGCACGCTGCAGCGGGCGCGTCAAGTGGCCCGGGATGCGCCCAAATTCCGCGAGGCAGCGGCCCGGCGCCTGCGAGGTGAGCGCCGGGCTGCCAGGGGGCCCGACTTTGGGAGCACCCCATGTGCTCTAACCCGGTGCCCCCACACTAACCGGGCTATAGACCAGAGCCTCCCACCAGGCCTTCCAGAATGTCACCCAAACTGGGACGGCTTCCCCCAGTGGCTTCCAAGCCCTTGCCACAACCAACTGTGCCCTCCACCCTAAAAGGGGTGATCCGCCCCCTGGAGTCACGCCCATGGGGTCCCACTTCCTCCCAAGCTTGTCGTGCACGGGTGGCCTGGCCCCCAAATCCCGACCCCGCAGTGGCTCCGTCTCTAGGCACAGCCCCTAAGGCGGGGCCCCTTAGCAGTTCGAACAGAGCGCCCCCATCACCCTAGCAGAGCCTACCTCCACGGAGCCCCTCCCTCTCACATGCCCCCTCCTCCCACCCCTCCTACTCCCCCATCCCCCACCGCGCTAGGTCAAAGTCCCAGGGGAGAAGGCAGTGTGAAGCGGGGCGAGGAGGGGCGAGGCGGTGCTTGGGCCCCCCGCCGCTAGCGCACCTGGCCCCGCCTCCAGGATTTCGGCCCAACCCAGAGCTGAGCGAGGCCCTGACCACCGGCTTTATGCGGAGGCTGCTCTGGGGGAGCCGGGGCGAGGGGGCGCCACGGGCTGCACGTTTGGAGAAATTCCAGCTCGTCCTTAGTGTCTTGTCGCATCGCCTGGAGCCTGACCACTGAGAACGCAGTTCCCCTTCTTCACAGTGGGACACGCAGACTCCAGACGGAGACCAAGGATGTCATCCCTTGCTCACACAGCCAGACAGGGTGGGGACCCCGCAGCCTGACTCACTGAAGGGAGGAAGGCCCGGTTCGCAAGAACCCAGCCTGCCCCCTAAAAATATACAGGGATCCTGGGGTGAGGGGCAGCCTCCTCCCCCACACCGGAAGACCCAGGGATCCGGAAGCCCTAGATGCTCCCCCACCCCCACCCCCACCCCATCCCACAGGTGGTGCCTTTTAAAACTGATGTGACTTCTAGCGGCTCACTTGTCCTATGTGTGCCTGCCTTCAACATGAAAGTGAGACCGTACTTCCTAGGGGTTATCATGGGAATTAAAGCTTGATGTTTAAACGAGATCCCGGGTAGAGAATGTCTGGCATGCAGTAGGTGCTCAATAAGTGCTACCTGTCCTCGGTAAGCCACCATGAACACGGAAGGGGTGATGTTTGGTGCCCTTCTCCCTATACTGGTCGCAGACAAGGACCCAACTCTCAGGCAGGGACAGGGCATGTCCAGGGTGTGCCCGAGTTCACCTCCCCTTCCGCGTTACCTGTGTGGCCTGTAAGGAGTATAGTGTTTGAATATCCAGCCCCAGTATCTAAATAAAGCCTGGACTCCAAGAACTTTACATAATTTTTTTTTTATATAAAACAACACAGCCGTAGCCGAGTGGCAGGAAGAAAAGATTTGAAACACGAGTATGTACATCAGTGGCAGAAGGCACAGCGGGTCCGTCTGAGGTGGGACGTGGGGTGGGGGTGGGGGGCAGCAGGTTACACAGGTCTCAGCTGAAGCCACGGGGGCAGAAATAAAGTGCGTAGGTCCTGGGGCCCTCGTGGCCCAGAAGCAGCAGCCGATAGCTCCCCCTCTCCCCACCTCTGGCAGGGCTCAGTTGAGCGTGACTCGGAGGTAGGAGGTGGGCACGTAACCTTCACCTCCCTGTTTCCGCCTGACCCGAGTCCAGCCGTCGCCCTTGTCCTCTTCCATGAGACTCAGGTCTTCACCCTCGGCCATGGAGATGGTGCCCTCGCTGGACCCTGTCATGAGGGTGGCGGTGGGCTCGGGTCTGCTTCAGGTGGGTTTAAACAGAGCCAAGCCCGGCACCCCCTCCTCCACCCACGCAACTGATACCTTCAAAGTGATAGATGGCCACGCAGTGTCCTATAGGGGACACAGGCTCCTCCTCAAAATCCTCATCAAACTCCGTGTAGATGGGGGTGTCCTGGCTTTCCTCCGAGGGGGGCTCTTCAGAGCTGGCAGGGGAGGGCAACGCAGGTGAAGACAGGCTTCCTGCGCGGGTGGGTGCGGGTTGGTGTCGGGCTTACCTCTGGCCGCCCGGCTTACCTCTCCTTGTTGTCCTGTGACTCGCTGTTGCTGCTGCTGCTGTCCGGTGGGGCGCTGGCTGGGGGGTCTGGAGGCCGGGCATGCCGGCTCAGGCTGTCCCCTCGGTTGCTCAGGACCCGGCTCTCGGCTTCCGCCAGCCAAGCCTGAGAGGAGGGGACCACGCAGTCAGTTCCAGGGCAGGGCTCCGGGGTCAGCCCACTCTGGGCTCGGATGTTTCCTGAGATCACCCATGCACACCCAAGGCTATGATGAGAAACAGCTGGAGCCCCCCCCCACCTCCCTGTCCCCCAGGCGGTGACTCAGCTAGGCCGGCCAGCCCCCGCCCCTCCCCAGGGTCTTTCCTGACCTCATATTTCTGCACTTCCAGTTTCAACCGTTCGATGTTGTTCAGGGTTTCTGCGATCCGCGGCTCCAGGCTGGCGGGGTCCCCCATCTGCGGCGTCTTCTCATACACGCCCTTCATTTTCTTCAGGGCCTCCCTAGGACCAGATGAGAAGGAACAGCCCCACGAGTTATCAGGCAAAAAATAAGGGCTTTGCTTCAAGGAGCAATTAGCCTGATAAGACGGTGGTTAAAGTTCAAATATTAGTGCTTCACTGCCTGGGTTCACATCCCAGTGGGGCACCCCCGAGTTGTTACGGAACCTGTTTCGGTGTGCTAACCTCGAAAATGGGGAGGATACACATATCTCATGTGAGTGGTTATGAAGATTAACTGTAACCTTTACTCAGATACACGTGGAGTACCTTCTGCATAGCAGACACTGTTCTGGGCATCATAAATACGGTGCTAAATAAGACAGAAATACTTTCCATCTTGTTCACAGTCTCTCGTGAAAACTCAGAACTCCCGTGAACCCATGGAAAGGGTTTGGAATAGCACCCGGCATACAGTAAGTGCTCTATAAATGCTAGGTCCCGTGAACCCATGGAAAGGGTTTGGAATAGCACCGGCATACAGTAAGCACTCTATAAATGCTGTTATTCTTATCATTAGTCCCCAGGCCCTATTTCCTCCACAACTATATATACAAGCAGTAGTAGTTCGAAGCATTTCTGAAATATGTCAAACCTGGGTTCAACTTCTTTCCAGTCCTAATATGATCCATGTTACAGATGCAGAAACTGAGGCACAGGGAGGCGAAACAGCTGGAATTCAAGGCCAGTCTGTCTTGACTCCACAGAACACCCCTTAAACCCCAACACCATATAAACTCGGGAACTACAAAGTTCTGAATGGAAGTTCATACCAATAAAAGCCGTTTTATACAAGAGATTTTGTGTAAATGGCAAAATATAATTTGGCTGCCGGGCCACAAGTGGCCGACGTCATCCCCATTATGTAAGAGAACTAGGAAGACGATCTTGCTGC